GGTTCTGTCAGAGTACACTCAAAGGATGCAATTTTTTTTCCATTAAATGCCGTTTTTCATGAGTTGTCATAAATTCGAAGCACCATAATGTTGGTTGTAAGTGTTCTAAATATGATTTCAGTGTGCCAGTTTTTTTTTATCGCTATCAGTTTTCTCTTTGTTTGGCTTAAAAGGTTTTGGCTTGTACTAAGTCGGCTTATTGACTTCATTTTGTGTCGTTTGATGAGCGAAACAAGTCTCATCTAGATGATTCCAGGAGCGATTTGGAAGTTTTTTATTTTTTTTTCTGGAGCAACGAGTATATGCTGAAGAATGGACGGCTTTGTAAGTTTTATTTTGATTCTGATCTGACAATAACATGCTTCTTTGTCATATCTTTTACAATCAACTTTAGTCAAGACAAAATCAAGACAAAGATATCAAAGTTATGATGCTTTTTTTAAATTTTTTTCGACTAATGGCTTTTTCTAATTTTTGTCGTTTTTTTGTCATGCTTTGTCTCTTTTTCATCGCAAAGATGCCAAGCTTTGCCTCTCTGTAGAATTGCCAATCTTTACTCTGTGTAGAAAATTTATTTAATGATGATTTTTGGCTTCATGGTTTCTGGAACAGTTTGAGGTTTTTTGGACTTTCAGTTCAGTTTTTAAGTAATTTTCGGCTGTTTAAGTGTTCGGCTTTAAATATATTGGCTTGGTTCCCTTATAAACTCAAGTCCTCTTTCTCTGGCTTACGCGGCCTGACCAAAGTGTGTGCCTGGGACGACAAAGGTCCTGAGTTCGAATCCAGCCTAGCCCTGTCTGTTTGCAAGGCAAAATATCAGACTTTTGTTTTTCTTGATTACTTTTTGCCGGCTTAGTTGCGACAGCATAATATTGCTGGCGGTTTCAACTATTTTTAGTATAATTAAAAGTCCTTTTGCATTATTCCTTGTAATTTGTAAATTATTCATCCCTGATTTTATATAATTTCCCTCATTCCCTTTTGTTTGTTAGTTTGAAAGCTTCTTTCGGCTCAAATGGTTTCGGCATCTATTATATCGGCTCAATAGTTTAGAACTTAGTTTTTTTTTGAAGGAATAGAGATTCACGTTTTTGTATTTTCCGAGAGTTGGGGGTGTATAAACTTCGATTTTCAAAACTTTAGCTCAAAGTTTTTCATGCCCACAATTTTCAATTTCGGCTTGGTTTTGTATTCTCAGATTAGTTTCCGGTCGGTAGAATTTTCTGAATCTTTATTTAATGCTAGCGCCCAAGATTAAGGGGGCTACTTGAGGTCTTAAAAAAATCTGCTTTCAAATTTTAAGGCTCGAAATTTTGAATGACAACAAATTTGTTTTCGACTGAACTGGCGTCTACCACAGTATTATTGGCTCAGTTGTCGCTTTTTTAGCGCTGAAGATTGCGTTTTTCGGCCTATCTGTGCTCCTCAAATGGGAAATGTCTCGTGACATGATTTTTGTAGATGTTTTTTTCAACATTTTTTATTCAAGTTTTTTAATCGACATTATGGCTTCCTTTTTATTTTCTGTTCCCTAGCTTACAATGCTCTGTCTGTGTGGTATCGCATGATGTTTAAAGATGCGCTTCACTTCTTGGTTAAGTTTCGTATGTGTGCGTGGTGTGAAGAGAAAATGTTAAGCAAGCTTAGAAGCATAAGTAACAGCTGTAACAGACAATATATATGTGAAATAAATTAAAAATACAAACTAAAATTGTCACGACCAGAACTTTTGTTTTTCATAGCCTATTTTACGTCAGTTTGCTCTACTCGCTAGCTTCATCTGCTATAGATTGGTTTAAAATTTATTTACTGTTTTTCTCGACACTGCAAAAAAAAATATTATTTTTTTAGATGTTAAAAGATTTCATGACATATCACTCAAGCCAAGCTGACGTTTTTTTTGGTTCCTTATTTTACTTGGAAAAAAAGTAAAAACAAACACTTTGTGGTCGGATCAACGTTTTTCTCGAAGGATAGTTTTTTCCTTGCCTCGGTCCTTTCAAAGTAAAACATCGGTGATATATTAAAAAAGGTGGCAGTTTCAATTTAGATAGCTGAATCGCTCTGCTATACTCCGAACAGTATTTATAGTTTATTTTAAAGCAAAGTATATAGCAGGATGAGCTTATAATTTGTATTTTTGAAAAACGTCTTTTTTCTGGCAGAATATTGTATCTACAAAAACTATCTGAGTACCATGTACAATTGACTGAAAATGAAATGAATAAATCGTGAATTATAGTTATCAAGTTTAATACAAGTACTGCTCTAATGTTTCTCAAAGTTTCCATCTATCGTAATTTTGCTACAAAATATCAACTGGATTATCTTGTGGTAATTGGTAACCTGGTTAACATAATTTCTTTTGCACAATAGTACATCGCAGTTCACAAAGGGAACCTGTAGGTATGATAGTATATATCGAAAAAACATTACATATAAGAATTCCTCGTATATTCAAAACTATGAAACGGATAAGCGTAGAAACGGAGGACAAAACCTGATTTTGACAGAGCTTGGAAAACCGGCCTCCTTAAAGACATAGCCTACAACGGCATGGACGGGAGACAACTTGAAACAAGCAGGAGACGACAGATCACGAAATCTCTTGGAAAAATGTCGATGATTTAGTGCCAATCACCCTCTCCGCATCCTGGCTCAAACGAAAGGCCTTCATAGACTGAAGGCAAAAGGGAAACAGTGCTTTAGAACAGACTGGAGGGCTGCAGGGCTCCATATACTGGAATAAAATGCCTCGGTTAACATATAACAAGACGTTAACGTGAACAGACACAAGAATCAGAAATCAGTATGTGGAAAAAGTCGAAGTCAATCACCAACACAGGCTCATAACAAACGGCTACCCATTGAGCCCCAATGAATAGATCAGTTAAGGAGAGGAAATCAGTTGATTCAGGTGAAGACTAAACCGCGCCCCTTTCTTACAATACACCAATTTCAGAAACAGTAAATCAGACTCTCCATTTTGCCGGCATTGCAACTTAGGTTTACGAAGAAGACACCTTACACGGGCTAACAGAGTATCCGAAATGGGCGGCAGAAGTACGAGTGTTTCGAATCGAAACCAAGCCCAACAACAGCGCACATCGAACCCTAAAATACACTCAAATTCGCCGCTGTCGATAGACCCCCCTGATCGCTGCTGAGGTACGACACGCACACACAGTCGAATTGCGTGTCGGGGGGCTCAAAACTGCTAATGTATTTTTCAATTCATCTTTGTTTCATTTTGTCTGAGTCCAAATGTTAACTGAACTTTGTTTTGCACAGAGGAGCTAAAGAACATCAAAAACCGGAACTATTTTTCGGTCTCTGCCAGAAACTGAAGACTAGCTTTTCAATTCAACAGAAAAAGCAGCTTTATGTATCACAGAGCTACGCTTGTGTACGTTGATATCATTCAATGCCGTATTTCAATACAGATGTTGCGCACAAGAAGCACTCCGAGCACACTGATCTTAGCAAAAGATCCTAAATAAGCACTATTTAATTAGGTGAAAACAAGCAAAAAGTTGCGATAATAGCTAAAATAACACAAGTATTGTTTTTTTTCCTGAAAATTTTGATTTTTTAAATCTCAATACCAACGAATGGGACTTGAGTATGATACCACAGTTGCCACCTTACGAATTTTTTTTCTGAGTTAATCAAAATTGGTAGGAAAAAAACACCCTATTGCCATAATTCCTTCACTTCATTTTAGTGGTCCGATCAGAAATGGTCGGAAGAACACGAGTTTTCGTTCGCTGTGCAATAGGGACATGATACCCGATGAACTTCTTATCCAGCTTGTCATTTAAAAACATAAAATCGAAAGAAGGGCAACGATTGTTCCCTGCACTCTTGTCCTTTTGTTATAAGTTTTTGATACTGATTGTTAATTTGAGTGTTAATTTTGTTCATGTCAATTTTGTGTAAACGGAAACCGTGTAGAACCCAAATGGGTTCGTTTGCTCTCCTCTCAGAGTTATTTGTTACACACAAATAAATCACATGAGAAATATATCTTCTTTCTTTTGTTTTTCAAATTAAAATGATAATTCTTTAAGTTACGTTCTTGAACAGCAATTAACCTTTCATTTATTGTTAGTTTCTGTCGAACTGAATATAGTTTCTGTCGAAATTAAGGGTCAATTTTATCCGCTCTTCGGTAACGATGTGTTTTATTATCAGAAAATTAAGATCAGTATTTTTGGAACCTGAAAAAAAACCTTTCATTCGTATATACATTGAAATCCGAAACATCACTCAATGAATTAGTAAGAAAGCACACTCGATGAGCTACGAGCTTTTTTTTCTGCCCAAAAGTCACAGAGTGCATTCGCCATAGTTCTTTCTCACCCCTGGAACTTAGTCGGAACCCAAAAGCTGCCTTTTTAATAGAAATAATGGAATCAATATAAAATACGACAAGTCAGTGTAAAATTTTTAAGCAGTTCATATAACGTAAAGAAATTATTGTTTATCAAACAAGTGTATTGTTTTCACGAGTTGCGAGTCTTATAAGCTGTTCGAGTCTTATAAGCTGATATATCTGGAATCAGGTGGAAGGAAACCGAAGGTCATAATTCCCTTCCACTTTATCGAGAATGGTAGGTACGAACGCTTCAACCAGGCACTTTTCTGAACTAGTGCATTCTATTAATGAGTGAAATACTTGTCTTTATTATAAAATAATCCTCTAGAAAACAAGCTACCAAATAAAAACTACCGATGATGAAAGCTGCTCGCTTTGCTGATAACGCTACATGTAGCTACCTGAAAGACACTATATATGGCAGACACGGTCCGGCAAATAAGACGACAGCTGTTAAGACAACAACCGTTTTTGATTAAGAATTATAAACCGTTTAAATTCGAACATTTCATTTGAACTGTTTTACTCATTTGTCGTCTCAATGCCATGTCTTCTTAAAGCGCTGGCGTCATATTTGCCTAGCACTGGCAGACACTATTCACGAATTGGTGCTTTTTAGATGGAGCATGAAAGTTTTAGACATGTTCAACTGACTGAAGTCGACCCTCAGCCACATGCGTCAGACACTGACCTTTAATGACTGATACTCACCAATTCGTCATACTAGTCCCTTTTAGTGCAGACTACCGCGAAAGAAGTGTCTCATGAGTGTGATATCAGACCACATCAACTTGGCCAAATTCATGCGCACAAATGCGCTCAACCACCCACATAATCCCGCCTCGCCGCCTACCCTCTCGTCCAAGCTTGGTGCTCATTGTAAGTCTACTTTCCTATATATAACCCTATGTCCAAGCAAATTCAAGTTTCAGAATCAATTCTTGGTTCGCTACGCAAGCTTAGGGTTGAACGGTCTAAACGGTCCATTATCGTGACAGAAGGACTGAATGCGCCAAAATTTTAATCCAAACAACGTCTAAGCAGACCGAAAAAGACTGATTTTCCAGTCAATTCTTTCTTATTTTATACTTGAAATATCTAATCAACTGATATAAATTTCTAACGTAGTTGATAGATTTTCCTCCAAAATTGCAAAACGTTTTTAAAAAGCCATTGATTTTGTTCGATTTCCTTGTTCATGGACATTTTTCCAGCAGGCTTTATCAAGTCGGAACATGCTTTTTTCAATTTAACTTGTTTAGCAGAATCACGAAATCAGTTTGTAGCTTGGTTTATAAACATTTTAAATCCACACTATTAGGATGCATCTAAGGCATACAGGTAATTTACCTGCCTTGAACGTCAAAGGCCGAGGCTTCGAATCCGGCTATGATCGTTTGTTTTCTAATTGAAAATATTTCCACCTGATAAAAGTTGTCGCACTATCGTTTGTAATTTCATGGCTAAGTTAACACAGCAAAAAAAAATTTCGCTGAAATGGAAATTCGTTTGATGTTGTGTTCATGTAATGGTGCAAGTAATTGTGTTCCAAAATATTTTGCTGAAACTTTCTGGTGAACAAATGTTTTGACGGTTTTTGAAGGATTTATTTCGTCTCTTTGTTCTCTCGCAGAAAAGTAATGAATGGAGGTTCGTCTCAAAAGTTTTGATGTCGAATCATGCAAGGTGTTCAGTGGTATCTAATCAATACCGATGGTCATATTGACAAACTGTAAAAACAAATCACAACCTTTCCCACCGGAAAAATTTTTAAGCTTTACAATTACCAAGACTAATTCTTTATATACCCATCTCCCCCTTCAAAGTAGGAACAAAATTGAAAAACTGCGCCTGAAACAAATAACATGACAGAAAGAAATGATGAAATCAACAATTGAAATTTTGGAAGGTACAAATGTACAAAATGGGTGAATTAACAGATTTTACACAGATGAAGTCTTTTTAAAAAAATAAAAAATCAATTCTACGGCTGTACATCTAACATTTACAAAGAAAATATATACACAATAATGAAAATGGATCAATAATAAGTACTGTAAAATGAATATTTTATAGATAAACTACTGAAAGTTTTCAAATAAAATTCAAATCAATTTCATCTAAACGTTTTTTGAGTTCAGAGTCAATCGTTGAAGAGATTTCGCTAATATCCTCAATATCTTTAATTGGGAGGTCCGGCGGAACTTGGGGTGTAGGTGTGGATCCGCTAGGTGAACTTGCGTGGATAGTATGAATCGGAGTCTGACTAGCTCGTCCTGATGGGGTAGATTTTTGCTAAGACCAAGATAGGGTGGTTTCAGCAACCAGAGTATGTCTCGCAGGGAGGTCCACTAGCGGCGTTAAAAAATCTGCAGGTTGTCTATGAAATTTACTATCGGAGGGTTATGTGGTTTGTCGTCTAACGATATCACTTCCGTGACTGCGTCCTCCTTTTCCAGAACGTTGTCGATGGGCCCACATTTCTATGAGGTGTAAACGGTCTTGGTTGGTATTCCACCCGGGAGGGATCTTCGGAGTACTGTCCAGTTGGATCGGATTATTTTCCGAGCCAGCTCTGAGCGAAGTTTCTGGAAGGTCCCCGCCTAGAGGATGTTCCGCGGGTCTAACTGAGTGTGAGGGCATCCGGTGTGTAGATTCGCCACCTGTAATACTTATTTCATGGTTAGGTCCTGACCGGGCTTCCTGACGAAAAGGCATGTGATTATTTGATACGTCATCGAAATAGTCCTCGATTATCCCATCCCATGAGTTTAGATTTAGATAGGAAGAAGAACCTGAGGTGTTATGCGCAGACTCATGTATCACTACCAGTTCAGTAGTCGGATCGTGGGTTCGTGTCGGTGTCCGCTTTTGAAGTACACTGCCTGAGCTGTGTTCTCTCCCAATGGTCTTTATGGGTGGTGAGTTTCCTTTTTCCTGCCACACGCGAAGGAAGTGTTGGATTATGCACAATGGGTGAAGGTTTCCATACGATTTTCTTAGGACTGGGGAGCAATTTTCCTTTGAACGGTAAATCGAATTGACGCAAGATGTGACCATTATGAAGCAAAATTGTAGGTCTGAGTATTCGACGATGTTATCCTTCACAAGGTTAAAATCGGGATCCCCGTTTTTTCTGTTAGCCGACTTTCTATAATTATTACTTATTACTTCCAGAGCCAAATTTCTTCGTGGATCTGCCGATTTGACCGGGTCTTGACAGGTCAGTCGAGGAATCGCCGAGTGGGTTAGGGTTAAAGGGTAGATTGTCCTCTGAGTCGGTCTGGGTTTCCATGTCAACGTCCATGTAGCCATCTTCGTGTAATTCCCAATTCCTTGACCGTTGGTCCGATAAGATAGACTTTCCTTTATGTAAACATATGTCAAAGGAAATCAGGTTTTTCCATCTGATGCTTGCAGTTCTTAAGTTTTTTCTCGAAGGGAGTGCAATTTATCGAAGCTTGTTTTGTAATTCAGAGGTTCCAAATGATTTTTTCGATCGAAGAGTTGAAGGAAGGTTTTGGTAATTCGAATGACATGGCCAATAATTTAGATTTTACTGTATATACAAGTCTTTCTACAAGTTCGTTAGATCTATGATCTCCGACTGTACAATAGATGATTTCGATGTTGAATTTTCACAGAAGGATTTAACATCGTAAGATAAAAAAACAGGACCCATGGTCGACTCTAATCTTTCTTAAAAATCCATGAAGATGGCAGTAATTGTTTAAAAAGGAAATAAAGCAGTGAGGTGGTGTTGTTGATTACATTCGCAGAAGGAAATTTTGTGAAACGATCGATGCAGAAGATGTATTTTTTCGTTCCCCAAAAAACGTGCAACAGTCTTGCGAAGTCCAAGTTTATTTCCTCGTTCGCAAACGATAGCGTGGAAGCTTTGTCGTATGATCCGTTCCAAGTAAATATTCCCAGATGATCTTGTCGTCTTTCGTCATGATCTGTAGGAGTTTTCCCAGATGATCTTCTCGTCTTTCGTCATGATCTGTAGGAATTATAGGGGAGTGGAGTAATATAAGATCCGATTTGTATCTCTTCAAAAGGTTTGCATGATCGTATGAGAATTGGACGTGTTTGAGTTTAAGCGCTATAATATGCTAATATTCCGAGATATTTTTGGGGATTGGAAGGTTTTTGATAGCGTCGGCTTTGCCGACCATTGGTCGCACTCCATCTCCAGAGATTTTAAAATCTAACGTTTTTTTTTCTTTGTGAAAGAATGCACAGTTTCACCGTTTCACCGCCATATTATTCTCTTCTAAGATTCACAATTCTGTTTGCAATTACTCTATGTTCATCTAAAGATCCTTTCGAAGCAACCAGTGTGTCTGTGTAGCAATTTGTACACGGTATAATCTTTTAAATTGAGTCCATGACTCGTTGAAATTCATTAGGCATGTCGATCGAACCGTAGAAGCAGGTTAAAAATCGATCGTTGTTTCACCGCCCACAATGCTGAAGTTACACTGCTTGCTTGTACTTTCACACAGTTTGAGTTGAATGTATGCGTTTTTCAAGTCTAAGTTACTAAATCAGACCTGCTCAGTGGGAGTTTCCGAAAGTAGGATAGCAACATTGTCTTTTAATTCATGAATGTTCGGCATCTGATATTTATTTTTAAAAATCTGATTGCTCAGTAATTTAGAGTCTAGTGCCAACTTAATCGAGTCATCTTTCTTTCTTGTTATAACAATTTGCCTAATAAAACAGTCCTCATCGCATTTTTCTTCGGTCTGCATTCTTCTTAGCTCTTCGTTTACGCCCGGAAACACTTTTCTTTTTGCCTGAACTGGTTCAAATGGAGAATGAAAATGTGTTACCTTGCGGTCATTCGGAATTTTCTCAATTCTCATGAATAATTCTTTAAAGTTGTTAAAAATTTGTTCGGATGAAAAAGAAAGTTAGTTCAACTTCCTTCTCCCTTGATGGTTGGCTGACTGAACATATTGTTGGCGGGTAGCACTTCTTCTGTTTAACTCCGATCCCTAATTTCGGTAGGTTGTCGCTCCCCAGTTTACTGCGTTCATCTCCTCCTGTGATGAAAAACGGCGTTTCTTCGCAAATTCACCCATTGGATTGGCTCCTAATGATAATTTTCCCCAGGATTTTGATCGTGTCGTCTATGAAACCAGTATAGATTCCTGATCCTCTTCTCCACTGGGTAATTTTTCAGGTTGGAAAAATTAACCAAATTTTCATTTTTTTTATTTAAGTTCGTGAAGGACCTTTTGTTTTATAAAACTAACATGGCTCGCCGAATCTACAGGAATATTCACATTCATAATCATCTCCCATCCCAATACGATGTTCATGAGTTTCTTGGTTTCGAGTCCGTTTTCATCGTATATCTTTCTAACGCTCAGCACCGAAAAATTGTCATCGTCAATCTGTCCGTTCTCATTCGAAGCGTTTATCACTCCACACATTTCTTGATTGTCGCTCCATGATTTCTCCGGTGGAAAGTATGTACAATTCTCGGTATTTACATGATTCTCGCTTTCAACATTTGCAGATGGTCGTTTTTTGTGGGATTTACAAAGTTTGCTGAAATTTCCTCTGTTACACTTTTTACACGTGATGTCCTTCGCTGGACATACATTCAAGTGTTCTTCATAAATGCGTTTCTCTTTTCTATATTAAGGCTCGGTTCTTCCTTTTTCTGATTCTATAAATAAAAATATTTAGTAGTCGGTCCATTGGTCGAAGATCTTGCCATATTCGTCAATTTCTGATGGTTAAAATAGCCTTTTTAGTCGATTAGAGCCTGATTTAGAGCTTCTGAGGGGCTGATTGTAGCTGAGAGGAATTTCCGTTGGGTTTCGGTATTCTTCATGTTGCAAATGTAGACGTCCCTAATCCAT